GTGGGTTGGGCCCCCTGCCGAGACAACCGCGGCCGTGCTGGGTGCCCAGGGACCCCAGGGTCCTGCTTGGTGGGAGCTGAGACCTCCCCACAGGGCATATGGGACCCAGCCCCCCAAAACCAGGCAGCCCTTACCTTCTCCTTGCGGGACAGCGTGGGGTGCACGAATTTGCGGTAGAGCAGGCTGGCCCCCCGCGTGTAGGGGGACAGCAGCCAGATGACGAAGGCCATCTTAATCTCATAGTAGAAGGGAAACCTGATGGAGAGGGGGAGAAAATGGGGGTGAGCACATGTTGGGGGAGTCCCAGGGCATCTGCTGCCCCTTTGCAGGGAATCTGGTGTCTCTGCCCGTAGCATCAGACCCCACAGACCTGGTCCCCCCAGCCTCACCAGGAGATGAGCAGATCGGTGAAGGTCTCGGTGGCCATGAAGAGGGCGAAGATGATCCAGTACATCATCCAGCGGACCTGCAGGGAGCGGGACAGCCCGTCAGCACGGCAAGGAGCTCAGTGTCTTTTAGGGAGCTGTTCAGTCACCCAATGAGTCCTCCCCACCCAGGAAGGGGAATCGAGAGAAGGAAAAGAGATTCACAGGTTGAAACAGAAAGAGATTTAATAAAATTATAATGAGAAAAAAAACCAGTATTAATGTAAAAGTATACAGAATTATTCTGGGCTGATAGAGTGGTCACAAGCTGTGATGGTCATGCATGGGAGTAGAATGATGGGGGAGACCCTCCTGAGATGACAGCCATCGAGGAAAGAGGGCCGTCCCCCACAGCCTCCCCAATTTACGGTAAGCATGGTGTTTATGGTCTGAAATGATTTCTGCTGGTCAATCTGGAGTCAAACTGCCCTGGGTTTTCACTCCCCACAGCTTCTTCACATGTTTAACTCAAAACTGCTACAAGACCTCGATCACCACATGCCAGGGCTCGCCAAAAACCAAACCCAAGTGTCTGATCAACCCCGTTCCCATTAAATGAGGCACAGCCTTTGCAGAAATGCAGCTTTCCCGAATAGAAAACTGATGCTTATAATACCCTATCCCAGCACAACCAGGACAGAGCTGCCCAGGCACCCCCTACTCACATATTCCCGGATGTTTTTGGTCTTCACGGCCTTGTAGGAAGCATAGGCAGGGTATAGCATCCCAAAAACCAGCCTGTAACGGAGAGGAGGGGTGAGGCAGGCAGGCCACGCTGCATAGAGCAGCAGCAGCAGGGAGTAGCAGAGCTGCCTGCCCCAGCGCTGCAGCTTGGCCTTGAGCCTCTCCAGCACCATGTCAGCCCCGGAGCCACCGGGAAAAGGGACGGCACCGCCGGAAAAAGGGGATGGCAGCATTGTCTCGCTCCCACGAACTCGCCCACCTCCGCGGGGACCGGCCCAACCTGTCGAGGCTGTGGCAATAGGAGGCACGGCGCAGGCTCAGCTCCGTCGGAGGGAAGGATCAGCCCTGCCCGCATCCCTGCCAGGTCCTGCCCGCGGAGAGCGATGCTCGGCGCCGGTGCCAACCTCCTGGCTGTCCCCGCAGCGCGCGGGCGAGGTGCCATCCTCCCCAAACACGCACCTCGTGGATGGTGACTCAGCCGCTGTGGGGTATGGGCA